ATTAAAGTTTAGTGTTCGTTTGGCCTTCGTTTGCATCAAAATCATCCATGAAAGTGAAATTTTTTTTTTTTTTTTTTTTACATTTGATCATAAAATTTGTTTCAATTGCTAAAAAGAAAAAAAAAGGGTCAAAAATGACGGCTCCCTGGAAAACAAATTCTCACCTTTTATGTGATATTTTGTTTTCACCAATTTCATGGAAAAACAGGCACGTGGACTCCAGCCAAGAAAATGTTTTGCCAAGAAAATGGGGACCATCAAACTTGACAAAAAGTGGCAATTGGAATTTAATTTCCATTTTCCCGGCAAAAGATGGTGCATCAAACAAGACATTAATGTTACCCATAATTTTTGCTTATTTTCATCGTCATCGCGACTATCTACACCATCACCACTAGAAACATTCAGTGTTACACACCATTGCCTGTCAACACCATTGTCGCCATTGGACACAAGCCCGAAACGTGGTTATCTGTGGCAATACATAGCTTTTTTGCTGCAGTACAATTTTGAAGCGAATGGCATCTTCTACAATGGGTGTTTACTAAAAGCCTTGTCTCGTCCAAGTCATGGTTGGACAGTACACTTGATTGATTTTACAATCTTACATTAGTCTCATTCGGTTAAAAAAAAATTTCAACTTATGTTCAGGCTATGAATGACTCAATCAAGCTTGATCAATTGATCGTTAAGATGAGCCAAATGTCAATCATCTAAATGATCTCAGCTCATCTATATTGACTATAAATATTCACACCTATTAACATTCACAAGTAGTCTTGAATCTGGAGTTGAATACAAACTCTCATTGAAAGATTAATAATTCTCTCTTCAACCAAATGTTCGCATTTTCGTTCATTTGTCTCCCCACACCCAAATGTTCTTCCACCGTCTGACTTGAGCATCAGACGACTACAGTCCCAACGACCATTGTATCATGTTGGAGCTACGATCACGTATAGTCTAACTTTGGTATTCAAGTATGTAGGTAACGTACACGTGAATGAAAGAGAAGTCGGGATCTATTGACAGCCGATCTAACCGAATTTGAAGGTCAATGGATATCAACACTTCTAGATCACCCCTAGACGATGTCATATTAACAATTCCTCATGAGATATATTTAAATTTATGCCCTTCAAAAGGGACAAAATCAAAAGACACGAAATAATGTGTACGAAAAAGTGGTCGAACATTACGATCATCATATAAATAATGCATTATATAATGTGAGGAGAAGGTGTAGATTGTCAATTTGTGAAGATTTTTGCCCCGATGAATAGATTAAGGGGAAATTAGGCTCACCACTCTAAAAAATAAACAAATTAGATTAAAGCCCTTAACATAAATTTAAACCCCTAATCATCGTAATTTATACGTCTTAAAACCCACCCCATTCAATTACATACACGCACAGACACATACCCGGCTTCACTCACTGGTTTTTCAAAATTTTCATCAACATCATCCCGTTTTTCTCCAAATTTCAGTGGGATTTGAAGATTAATTATATCCCAACATCATTCATCGATGAATTCACACTTCCATCCATAAAAA